GGTAGCCACGCCGCACATCCGCCTGTTTACCATCGCACCCATTGGGTACGATGGTAGCCGCGCCACACATCCGCCTGTTTACCATCGCACCCATCGGGTGCGATGGTAGCCGTGCCACACATCCGCCTGTTTACCATCGCACCCATTGGGTGCGATGGTAGCCACGCCACACATCCGCCTGTTTACCATCGCACCTGTTTACCATCACACCCATTGGGTACCATGGTAGCCGTGCCACACATCCGCCTGTTTACCATCACACCCATTGGGTACGATGGTAGCCGTGCCACACATCCACCTGTTTACCATCACACTCATTGGGTACGATGGTAGCCGTGCCACACATCCGCCTGTTTACCATCGCACCCATTGGGTACGATGGTAGCCGCGCCACACATCCGCCTGTTTACCATCGCACTCATTGGGTACGATGGTAGCCATGCCACACATCCGCCTGTTTACCATCGCACCCATTGGGTACGATGGTAGCCGCGCCACACATCCGCCTGTTTACCATCGCACCCATTGGGTGCGATGGTAGCCGTGCCATACATCCGCCTGTTTACCGTCGCACCCATGATACATACACACATTTGTACGTGGGCACATGAGCACACGGATGGTGGGGCACACACATTCACTCCAAAAAAAGAACGGAGGGAGGGAAGGCCAAGGGAGTGAAGGGGACAGCAGAGGGGAAGGCACAGGATGGAAGAAGGGAGGGCACATGGTAGGGGAAGGGAGGATGTTGGGAGGGAGCGTTGAGGGAAGTGGGGGGGATGATGGAGGAAGGGTGGAGGAAGAGAGGGAAATGGTATTGTGGAGGGATTATTGAGGGAGGGTGGAGTGAGGGTTGGAGGGTGAAATGATGGAAGGATGGAGACGGAGCGCCATGTCTCCCTTACTTCACCCCCCGAAGGAAAAAACAGCCACACAGATTTATGGGGCCTCAGTGATATTAGCATATGCATCATTCACACCCACACGAATCCCCCAGGGTCCCTGTCGTATTGAAGTCATTTAGCCAGTGGCTCCCCCGTTTGTCTGACTTGACATTTATAGGAGAGTCATCACACACACAACCAGAAGAGGCGCACAAACACGTGGCATGCCAAACCAGCCATCAACCCTTAAGTAATTTAACTTAGGGAGAGCACCCCCAGAATCCCGGATGGGCAGTGGCAGGTGTTGTGTCGTATGCGGTTTTTATAATTGAACAGGATGTTGTGCACAACACATGGGTGAGGTGGGGTGGCCCATCCATCTCCGCCGGTCACCCGACAGCCCCTGGTTTGCCCTGCACCAACAGCACGCCTCCCGGGTTCCCATGACCGGCAGTCTGAAAGCCATCCAGCTGCTGTGCACCTATGACCGACAGCCCAGCACCTATGATCTATCTGCAATGTATCGACCCTAGACAAACCGTTTTGGGGCTCCTGGAGGCCCATAAAGCGCAGCCGGGGCAACATGTGCTCCCTTTAAGTCGACCATGCAATGCCTTGCCTACCCTATATTTCAGAACAATCCTATGCTTTTCGGTGCTTTTGGATGGGTACAAACAGTGATTTTTTTTTCATTTAGGGGGGGGTCTCTATTTATTCCAACCTAAGTAACAAAGTTGCTAGCGTCGCCGTTATGTATTCCTTAAGAGAGGGGCGCTGGGGGGGGCGTAGACCCCCCCCCGCCTAGTTACAACTCCCCTCATAGACCAAGAGGCACGCACTGCGTTGGCGCGTTTTCGTTCATGTGCGCTCATGCCCTTGCGGATGCGCTGTGTCTGAGCCCGCTTGGCACTGCGAGCGCTCGGGTTGGGCGCCTCGCCGCATTCGTTGTTGTCAAGCTGATTGGGTGACAGCTTGCGCTTATGCTGATCACAACCGCCATGGAAGGCAGGGGTAATGGCGGCAGTGTCATCGGTCGCCGCTGGCAGCAACATTGCCGATGCATTACCGACAACAGCACCGCCGTCCCAAATGCCTTTATCAGGAAACATTTTTGACTTATCTTGCTGTTTTTGTGTTTGTTCGGCGTTCAAGTCGTTGCCTTTTGCGTGTTTGTCTATGGAAGGACCGGTCATACATTCTGCTAGCAGAAGCGCTATGCCGCGTTGACTCACGGGCTTGACCTTCTTACGGCCCCTCATATCTATTTTATGATCGATAATACTAAGTTCTGCACACTACGGAGCAATCTGGCAGCAATGGACGTTTTTGGCTGAAGGAATGAAAATGTACGGATCGGCCTCACTTTGTTCCTTATTTCCAAAGGCCAAAAAGGCCTCTTTATTCCTTAAAAGTACTATATTACTTAAAAAAAAACACTGGGTACAAAGCGAGAAGTCCTGTCATCATCATCGGCCATGTCGACGTCAGAGTGCCCGCGCGTGAAGCTGTTTGCTATACTAGTTAAAGCAATAACTTTGATTTAGCTATAAAGTCTCTGTAGCCCGTTCGGTTGGCTTTATGAAATTGCGTAACCTCTGTCCGGCCGTCGCAGTTACCTTCTACCAAAGTATGTGCGCTTTGCGCAGAATTTAAGCTATAAAGACAAGCAATAGTTAACTCAATTGGTGTTCCTGGCCTCGCAGTAATTCGTTAGCCAACTTCCACTACGGGGCATAGGCACTCGGGGTCTTGGCCTGCAGGACCCGTCCACATTCACACAATGCCTAAGTCTTGCAAATGCGGCAACCTTTTCTGTAATAAATTACACCTCGAAATCCATGAACGGTTTGCCTCATTGGTACAGGTCGCTTGCAATCACGCCGTACACATCTTCATACATCAGTCCAGAATGACTACATGCTGCTTACATTCGTCATTCATATAGGCAATATTGCGAAATCATTACGATCTTTGATGGACCTTGAGGAAGAGCGTGCTGCATGCATAGCCAGAAACGAAGCTAAGTTAGCAGAG